ACAGGGGGGACTCCGGGTGGAGGGGGCGGCGCTGAGGAGGTGCTGGAGCAAGAGAGGACTGGGGAGGCGGAGGGTGTTGGAGGAGATTCATCAGGGCCAGGACACAGCCGGGATTTTTTATTTTATCTCAACCATCCCGGGGAGTGGACAACGGGGTTTTAAGCTGGACCTGACACCTCTGCTAACTCCCTTGCAGGGGACGATCTTTCTCTGGCACACAGGACTGGCCCTCCCAAGGCCAGATGTAGGAACTGCCCCGCTTTCCTTTGAAGGCAGGGCTATGTCCACAAACCACTTCCAAAAAAGGGCTGGAGTGGGAGGGGTCGGCTCGGGAGGATAGCCTTGAGAAGTGTTAGGGAACCCCTGCGTCTACCCTGGAAGGAGGAAGCAGACGCAGAGGGGAGAGGGGACTTGCCCAAGGTCACCTGACGAGTTAGAACCATTCTTACATCTATCCGCCCAGAAACCATTCGCTGAGCACCTACAATGTGCCATGTCCTGAGATAAACATGCAGGGTAAGGTACTGCATAATAGGACATGGTCGTTGTCCTAAAGTTGCCCACACTCCAGAGATAGGGACATGTAAACTGATACTCGCAGCCAAGGCCAGAGCTGCTCCCCAAATTCTCCACCTCCCAGCTCAGTTCCATTTCCCCGCCTGTCCCTCCCTCAGGCTTGATTTGAGGGTGTTGTGTTTGGAGGCAATCAGCTCACATCTCCCCTCTCACCAAGACTCACACACATAGCCCAGTCCTCGGCCTTATCTTCAGGAGCCTGACTGGGCGAGGGAACCAGGAAAATGCCTCCTGGACAGAGGAACAGATGGAAGAAGAGATTAAAGAAGCAAGCCTCTGGCATTCAACCCACCTCACTCCACTTCCCTACTGGAGATGTCACCCGGGCACTGTCTCTATTGGGAACCTGGCCCACCCCCAGCTCTTGAGACAGAGTCCAGCCCTTGACTCTCAAACAGCACAGCAGCTGTCTGCCACCATGTCAACTTTGCCCACGGAAGAGGGAGGAGCACAAATGAGGAACAGCGGGTGGCACCAGAATGAACACAGGGCTAGTAGCTAGAAGGCAGGCTATCTGTCTCCTGAAGGCTCCACGAGCTGGGCAGTGGCAGGTGAGTGGTGGGGAGGAGCTCCTGTCCCCAGACATCCCTCTCAGCTGCCAGACCCTGACCAGGCGGCTCACCACAGGGATGGGATGAGCTGGCCCTGGGTGCAAAATCTCCCCCAGAAGATGCTGAACGGGCAGCGTACACCCACACTCTCTCCATCTCCTCCCTGCTCCCTCTCCTTTGGCAAAAAGGGAGCTCCCTGGCTCCCACTCAGTGCCACTGTCCCTCCCTTAGACTCAGGGTCCAAGTTCAGGGGTAGCAAGAAGTTTCTGGGGTGAGCAACCACCCCTGTCTGCCTGGAACTAAGAGATTTCCTGGGAAGTGGGAATTTCAGAGCTAAAACCAAGACAGTCCTGGGCAACACGGGACCTTTAGTCACCCTAGTAATTGCCCATTTGGTCAGATTTGGGGGGTGTCTAGAAGGTTCCCGATTCTTAGATTATCTCACATCCCTTATTACTCTGCCACAGGCACCTGGAATTCCACTATTAAAGTTTCTTAAAAATTCTCAACCATGCTGCTAACCAGGAAAAAGGCAAATTAAAATGAGATACAATTTTTTACTCTTAAGATGAGCCCAAATGGTAGCGACTGCCAGCCTTGGTGTTGGGGAATGACCCTTTCAGTGCCAAATGATATTCGGGAGAGCACATCTGCACCCCAGCAACCCTGCTTCTGGGGGCTTTTCTGGAAGAACATTGCATGGGAGACATGTAAAAGGATGCCTACCAGGAATAAGATGTGGATACAGGCTATGACATGGATGAACCTCAAAAGCACGATGCTAAATGAAAGAAGCCCAACATAGAAGGTCACATGTTACACGATTCCATTTACAGGAAGTATGCAGAATAAGTCAAGCCATAGAGACAGAGAGCAGATTGGTGCTTTCCAGGGGCTGGGGGTGGGGGATGTGGAGAGGGATAGTGACTACTTAATGGGTACGGGCTCCCTTTGGGGTGATGAAAATGAAAATGTTTTGGAACTAGATAGAGGTGATGGTTGCACCACGTTATGAATGGACTAAATGCCACTGAACTGTTCACTTTATAATGGTTAATTTTATGTTATGTAAGTTTTTTTAAAGGATGCCTTATTAATAGTACCGAGACCTGAAAGTTACCTGAATGTCTCTGAGGCTGAATCCCGAGCCTCTGGTATAGTGGCAGAACAGAGGGAAAGTGAGAAGGCCCCCAGTTTAACCCGCACCATAGCCCCGTCTCCACGTGCAGGTTCCCGAGGGCAAGACAGGTGCAGCAGGAGCCACCTCAGCGTGGAGTGGTCACAGCCTGACCTGCTCGAGCCTGGCAGTCTCGGCCGATCAGCTCAGCTCAGGCCACCAGGCTGGTGGGCTCAGCTCCCAGACTCTGACAGAGCCTGTGAGCCATTACCTGGAGATAACTAAAGAGGACTCTACATCTTGCCTTTTCATGAAAAATTACAAGTGAAAGAATACAGTGTCTAGGATTTGCTTAAAATCTTCCAGAAAAAAAAAAAATGGGACAAAGAAAATAGACGAAAGAAAAAAGGCAAAATACTAACAACGTCTGAAGCTGGGCATGTTGGAATTTATTGTGTTATTCTTTCTATTTGGCATAGGTTGAAATTTTTCCTGCAATACTTATGACCAGACAAAATAGACTTTAAAACAAAGGCTATCACAAGACATAAAGAAGGACCCAGTAATTGCACTTCTGGATATTTATCTGAAGAAACCCAAAACACTAATTTGAAAAGGACATAAGCATCCCTATGTTCAATGACGCATTATTTCCAATAGCCAAGATATGGAGGCAATCTGAATAGCCACTGATGGATGAATAAAGGAGGTACACGTATACCACTCACTCGGCCATAAAAAAGAATGAGATCTTGCCATTTGCAACTACATGGATGGACCTAGAAGATATTATGCTAAGTGAAATAAGTCAGACGGAGAAAGCAAATGCCATATGATTTCACTTACACGTGAAATCTAAAAAACAAATGAACAAACAAAACAAAGTTACAGATATAGAGAAGATTTTGGTGGTTGCCAGACGGGAGTGGGGTTGGAAGGATGGGTGAAAGAGGGGAGGGGATTAAGAGGTACAAATTGGTAGTTACAAAACAGTCACGGGACATAAAGTACAGCATAGGAAATATCGTCAATAGTATTGTAATTACTATACTAATGGGTACTAGATTTATCAGTGACCACTTCATAAGTTATATAAATGTCTAATCACTATGTTGTACGCCTGAAACTAATAGGTCAATTGTAATTTAAAAATATTTTAAAAAAGAAAATAAGAGCTAAAACAATGTACCAAAAATAGGATGGATTGGCGGATGTATAGAGAAATGGATGGATACATGATAAGTCAAGTTTAATAAAATGTTAACCAATCAGTGTCGCTGTATGTTGGAAAATCTTAATAAAATGTTGGCAAGAAAGTAGCAACCTTCCCCCTCAAAAAGTAAGCCTTCAGTGGCCCTCATTTTCTATAGAACACCCCCAGGTGCTTAGCTGGGCATCCCCCCAGCACTTGCCTCAGACCCCTTGGTGCAGTATTTAACCTTTCCAAGCCTCATGTCCCTGACACACAGGGAACTGCGGTCCCTCAGGGGGCAGTGGAGAGGCCGGGATGAGAAGATCAGCACTCAGCATCACGTCCGCACAGGCAGGCACTCAGGAAATGCTACCTCCGATCCTTAGAGCTTTAAAGCTACTTCGGTGACTCCCAGATTCTGGAGGACACCTGGCCAGAGGGTCCCTAACAAGAGCTCCCTGTCCGTTTGCAGCGGGGCCTCTCAGTCCCTTCATTCGTTTGCTGGTCCAGGCAGCATTCTCTGAGCCAGGACCCGTGCTGGGTGCCCAGGAGCCCACGCATTAACTCTAACAAGTCCTTGCCTGTAAGGACTTGACGGTTCCAACCAGTGGAACAGATGCTCCAAGGGAACCTGGAGCAGCAAAACCTGACAGTGCCAGCCTGGTGAGAAAGCCGGGCCAGGCTTTGGAATGCTGACTCCGTCAGCCCGGAGGAGCCGGGCCTCAGCGCTGGAAGGACCCTGGCATCCGCGCCGCCCCAGCCCCTCCCCGCCTCTGCAGGCCTTCTCTCCCGTTGGCAGCAGCCACAGCAGAAGGCAGCCGGGTGGAGGTATGTGCTCAGGGGGAGAGCAAGGCCAGCAGAAGGAGAGAAGTTACCTTCTCCCCGCCACCCGGCTGTGGCCAGGCTCAGACAGCCTGAATCAGAGCACCTGGTTTAGAGGTCCGCCAATCAAGCCACCAGCACAGCTGCGTTCTCCTTAAGCAAGGCCTGGCGGGCCTGGAATCATGCTCAGGGTCCCAGTGCAATTTCACGACTGCCCCCAGAGGCAGGTGCCACAGTGCCGGTATGGGAACAAGTTCAGAGACATTAAATAACTTGCCCAAAGTCACACGGAGCAAGCCAACACTAGCCACTACCCCTGTTCAAACCGGGTCCGCAACAATGATGGCAGCTGATATTTTGAGCCACTACACATATACCATCTCATTTGAGCCCTACAATGACCTGAAGAGGGAAAAATTATTACCGGCGTTCTGCAGAGAAATTCAATAATGCCTGGAACAACTTAACAGGTAGATGGCAGAGCCAGCACTCGACGAATAACGACGACCGATAATTATGATACTAATGGCAACTACATTATTCTCCTACTGCTTCCGGAACAACCATCACAAACTTAGTGACTTAGAAATGATACAAACGTATTATTCACTTACAGTTCTGGAGGTCAGGAGTCAAGGTGTCGGCAGGGCTGCGCTCTGCCCGGGGGCTTCCAGGAAGAATCCGTTTCCTTGCGTTTCCCAGCTTCTAGAAGCTGCCCGTGCGGCCTGGCTTACAGTGCCTCCCTCCACCGTCAAGGCGCCCTACTCCAACCTTCTTCCATCTTCATGCCTCCTCCTCTGACCCTCCTGGCTCCTCGCAGAGGCCTCTTGTGATTACACCATTGGGTCCACCTGGAAAATCCAGGTGTGTGCCCTTATCATGTCTGCCGATGCCCCTTTGACCATGGAAATTAACATGTTCACAGGTTCTGGGAATTAGGACACGCACCTCTTGGAGGGCTGTGACTCCGCCTACTGCAGCAGGTAACATTTCCTGAGCTCCAACTACTACTACCACGTGCAGGGGTTCTGTGCTCAGCGTTTGTGCGCATCATTTTAGAGCAGCGCATCTCACGCTTTAACTTGCACATAGATCCCCAGGACACCTTGTTAAAAATGCAGATTCTGGTTTGGGAGGTCTGGATTCCTAACCTGCATCCAGGTGATCCTGCCCCTGTGGTCCAGAGACCCCACTGTGAGCAGCAAGAATCTAGAAGAAGGGCCAACAACCTCTTTCTGTGAAAAACCCGAGAGTAACTAACTATTTTCAGCTTTGCAGGCCTTGCAGTCTCTGCTGTGACCACTCCACTCTGTTACAGCCCCAAAGCAGCCATCAACATTATGAGAATGCATGGGCGTGGCTGTGTGCCAATAAAACTTTATGGACACTAACATTTGAATTTCATAGACTGTCAGGAAATGTTATTCTCCTTTTGATTATTTTCAACCATTTGAAAATGCAAAGACCATTCTTAATTTACAGTGACACTGGGCCAGGTTTGGCCTGTGGGTTGTAGTTTGCAGACCCCTGATCTGGAATGTCAGTTCCAAGAGAACATTTATTTCTATCTTATTTTTCTTGCTGTGGTATCCCTTGCATCTGGCACTTCATAGCTGCCCCTAAATTAAGTGCTGAATGAAAGAGCAAATCATCTCTAATCCTCACAGCTACTTTTCCTAGGAGGCACAGTTTACAGATGGGGAGCTGATGGGAGTCGTTTCTCTGGATTTGGTAGAAAAAAAGGCACAGAGATGGTGTGCATGAGGCTGTGCAGCTGGCCTCCTGGAGGGACCAAAACCACTCTGCCCCCATCGGTGTCCTCCCCCACAGCCTGGGCACCCCCTCCCCTGCAGCCAGCACCACAAAGTTGCCTATATCCCTGGCTCCTGCAAGGACAGTTCTGCTCCCCAGAAAGGCGGATCTGGGACCTTCACACAGCCATGTCTTGAGCCAGGCCCAGCAAACCTCTCACCGAGCATGAGAGGCAACAGAAAATTCTCTCCTTTGTTGGTTGGAAACAGCAAACGCTCCAACACTTCCGCACTAGGCGACCAGGCACAAGCTCCGCCAGGTCAGAGCCTAGCAAACACATTCCCGTCAGGGGCCGGTCTAGTAACATAAATGTGTGAAACGGGTGGGGTTGAAACCACATTCAGCAAATGGCTGCTAATGCCACAATCAGTGACACCTGTCCAGCTCCGTGGCTTTTTAAAGCCTTCTGTGAGACCCACGTGGCTTGAAATTTGCCAGCTGTGTCTCTCCTCAATTTTACAGAGAGCTGCTCCCACCCCAGGACCTCCACCCATGCTGTTCCCTCAGC